CTTCTCAAGGTGTGACAGAATGGGCAATTATGGCCTGATACACTTAGCCTGTGGCTTGACTGCAATCTCCCTCCTTCCTGCTTCCCCTTGTTGCATGTCCTTGGGGGAGCTTAGGTGTGGCTTAACCATTGGGAGGATCCTGGGAGGGGCCAAGCAGACTATAAAAGATGCAGCTTGACTTCAAATAAACGGCATTCTCCCCACAAGAATGACCCACTGTGTCTGTGTGTTGTCTGTCTTGTCTGTCTCATAACCCTAGTCCCTCCGCTAGATTCAGGGCTCGGGGTACGTGGCGACGCGGGCGTTGCCAACAGGCTCTAGATCAGCTCTGCTCTAGCTGTTGCGACCACTTGGGGAGTAGATCAGAAGATGGAAGTTCTTTCTCTCCGCTTTCCTTCTCTCTGTCAACTGGCCTTTCCAATAAAATAAAAAGCACTGGTATACAGCAAATGATGCAAATACTCTAAGGACACTGTGACGCAGCACATTTAGCTGTGGCCTGCAACACCGGCATATCAAATGGGCCCCAGTTCTAGTCCTATCTGCTTTACTTCCAATCTAGCTCCCTGATAACAGGTTGGGAAAGCAGCAGAAGGCACCCCAACTGCTTGGTTCCCTGCCACCCAAGTGGGGGACTTGGATGAAGTGCCAGTTTCTGGCTTCAGCCTAGTCCAGGTCCTGTCATTGCAAGAGAGTGAACTGGTAGAAGGAAAATACTTCATTCTCTGTGACTCCCACCTTTCAAATGTTTTTTTAAAATACAGGAAAGGGCCTGGCGTGGTAGCGCAAGTGGCTAAGGTCCTCGCCTTGCACGCCCGGGATCCCATATGGGCGCTGGTTCTATCCTGGCAGCCCCGCTTCCCTTCCAGCTCCCTGCCTGTGGCCTGGGAAAGCAGTCCAGGACGGCCCAAAGCTTTGGGAACCTGCACCCGCGTGGAGACCCGGAAGAGTCTCCTAGCTTCAGATCGGCATAGCATTGGCCGTTGCACTCACTTGGGGAGTGAATCATTGGACGGAAGATCTTCCTCTCTGTCTCTCCTCTATGTATATCTGCCTTTCCAATAAAAAAATAAAAATAAATCTTTTAAAAAAATACAGGAAAACAATACACATATATTAATGGGAGGGAAAGTGCTTACCAGATGTTATATTACGAAGTTTTTTGGAGTTGAGAGGGACAGAACAAATGAAGTAAAAAATAACTTGTCAGTTATCAAGCACCAGGATGACATCAGAGGTCATCTTAATTGCTTTCTCCATGTCTTCTGACATTTCACTTTTCAAGCTTTTCTACAAAACATGACTTTATAGAAAATCAGGCTAGAGCCAGTATTGTGGAATAGCTGGTAAAGCCACCACCTTATAAGACCAGCATCCCGTACAGACAGCAGTTTCAGACCCAGCTGTTCTACTTCCTGCCTAGCTCCATGCTAATGTGCCTAGGAAAGCAGCAGACAATGCCAAGTGCTGGGGCTCCTGCATCATGCAGGAGATCCAGGAGTTCTAGATCCGGCCACTCTGGCTTTGTCCCATCCATTGCAACCATTCAGAAAGTAATCCAGCAGACAGAAAACATTTTTCTGTCATTTGAAATCTTCCTCTCCATGTATCTCTTTCAAAAATTAAACACACAAGTGGATGTAAATGGCCCTTTGGACTGGAGGAAGACCTCAAAACCAGTGACAGCCTGCTTAACCCGAGTTGTATCAAGCTTGCAAGCGATGTGGGGGAAGAAATGAAGGGAATGGAGGACGGCATGTTCCGAACATCCTGCATCCAGTTCACAGAAATGTTCATCTTATGTGAGATGCACATTTATAGAAAGGAAAAAACTAGCCTTCTAAACAAGATCATCTTTTTTAGAACAGAGTGGCTCAGCCCATAAGTGCCAGTCCCATCTGCAAAACCCCACGAGAGCTGCTGTTAATATTAATTAATGGCAGGATCATGTTTGCTCTTGAACACGTTTGTCCCAGTCAATCCAAGATTTCTCTTGGAAATCTGCCCATCTTCCCGCAATGCGATAGAAGCTCCAGTATAGAATGTGACTTCAACACTACTTGCCCAACTCTTACAACAGGTTTTCCTATCCTTCAAGCAGGACACTGTTTCTCATGACAGAGCACAGACCCAGCCCCCAGCCTTCCCTTCACTCCTGCACTGTGTGTAAAGAGAACCATTCTACCACACCAAGCCCGCAGGGATCCTATACGGGCACCAGTTTGAATCCTAGCTGCTCCATTTCCCATCCAGCTCCCTGCCTGTGGCCTGGGAAAGCAGTAGAGGATGGCTCAAGGCCTTGGGACTCTGCATCTGCGTGGGAGACCTAGAGGTTCCTGACTGTTGGCTTCAGACTGGCTCAGTTCCAGTCATTGCAACCAGTTGGGGAGTGAATCAGTAGATGGAAGATCTTTTCTCTGTAAATCTGACATCCAACATAAATAATCTTTAAAAAGGAGAAAACCAGAGTCAAACTTGTGGGGGTGGGCTTAAAAATAAGGTATTTGATAAGCCTCAGCCTGCATTGCTCCAGGCCGGTAGGACACTAATCTCAGATCATAGCTAAGTACAAACTTTGGCCATAAATCAGAACTAATTAAGCAGAAGAATGCATTCTGTTGCTGCTCTCTGACTTCTTGGAAATAAGTAGACAGAACTAATGGCCTATGTCATTAACAGCATCTTACTGAACTTTTATGCACCAGGTACATGCTAAGAGCCTGGCGGGAGACAAAAATTGGAGTGTGGTATTGGTAGAAGGGACTTCCAGGGACATAAGATTGCCTTAAATATTGCAGTCCCCAACCCCTGGAACACTGTGACACAGAATAAAAGATCAGGAAACACCTGCTGGATGAATTTGACATCTGCAACACCAGCTTACAGCTGTGGGCCAGGGCAGCAACAGCGCCCACATGCGTAAAGGGAGGATGCCTCCTGCCAGGCTAAGAACAACTACACTGAGCCTACCCAGTCTGGAAGGAGCAGCCACTGCCTGGTGCAGGGAAGACAGCCTTGCGGACTGGAGCCTGCCCAAGCGCAGGCTGCAGCAGATGGCCTGATCTGCTCTCCCATTCCAGTCCCGCCCAGGTTCCACACCCTGGGGCTTTGCCCTCCTCCAAACCTTCCACCAGAAAATACCGGGTACAAAAGGGTGGAGGAGCTTCTCCACCAGGGAACTGCCTCAAAGCAAACAGTAGGTGACACGCAGGGAAATAACTACCCCGGGATGCGTTCTTATGTAGCAGCAGAAACTACTCCAAGAATGGTCCCCACGCCCGAGAAACAGCACTACCCCTGTGCTTCTGCCTTTTTTCCCTGACACAATTTTTAAAGCACTTCATGAAAAAACTTAGTTCAAAGAATTTCACAGTCCCTTCTTATACCAGGGTTGAAAAAAGAGGGGGGAAGAAAAAGATGATGGTGGTGGTGATGCCCCCCGAAAGAGAACGGAAACTAGAATTCACAAGAGGAAAAAGATTAAGAAAACAAGGAAACACAGGGAGAAAATTTTCAAAACACACCAAAGTGAGCCATTTCCCACCACACTCTTCAGAGGGGAAGGTTCCACAGGGTCAGGGCAAGGATGGACAGCGTGAAAGCCTCCAGCCCAGATGGCTTCAAGCCACCAAGCCAGCTGTGGGGAGCGTTAGTCGGGCCTTGGAGCTCGGCACTCAGGCTGCCTGTGGCCTCCTAGAGCTGAGGGTCAGCCTTCCCTCCCAGGCACCTCTGCCCTAAACCGCATCCCAGATACTGAAAGAATACCACGCTTGTGAATGAGGCATTTAAGTTAAAATAGCGTAAACCATCCCTACCCCAGGTAACAGCTACAGGCAGAGAAAACTCCAGCTACAGCCAGGTGACTTCTGTGCCATGGCTGTGGGCAGGGGGCAAGTTAGCCCTTTACAACCTGCTTGTAAAGTAGAAATTCTTAGTAGTTTATCAGCACCGTCCGCCATCCACCCCTCCAAACTAACGTGGTGAGTCTAAAATGTAGATCCCTGTGTAACTGGCCCCTACTGGGCAACAAGCCCCCGCATCCCTGGACGCCCAAGAGAACAGTAGCAACAAAGGGCTTCCTGTGCAGTAACAAGTTTTCCATAAAGGAGTCAGTGATGGCCAGCATCTCCATCCCAGAAGCGTCAGGGGCCTCCAAGCAGCACACGGCAATCCATCCGCAGACTGGTGTGAGCGTGGACCAGATGAGGGACCGGCGGGATACGGTCAGCTAGAGCCAAGAGGGTGACCCCCACATCCCCAACTCGGCCAGGCTGGCCAAGCGAGGCTGCTCAAGATGCCAGCGAGCGCCAGCAAGGATGGATGGGAAATGTAATTCATCAGGACAAGCTTCCCCCCACTTTCCCACTCCCCACTCCCCCCCGGCCAGTCCCCGGCTGGGGGAAACGTCAGTCGGCGGGGAGTTTGCCATAGAAAGCGGCTGCTCACAAACCAGCCTTCCAAAGCCACCCGGTGCTCTGCTCCCGAGGTAGCACGGAGAAGCTGCAGGGGCGCGTGGCTGAGAGCCTAGGCACCGCAGCTTTCCCAGCGCCGCACGGCCAGACTCCCACAGGTGGGTGGCGAACTGCTCCCCCCGCCCCCAACTCCGGGAATCGCGCGGGGGGCGGGGGGCGGCGCAGGGCCAGGGTGCTGGGGAAGGGGGAAGGGTTCGGTAGCCCGGTACAGCTCGCTCGCTCGGCCCCACGGTCTCCGGCCCCCCGCCCACCGCCTCCCCGTAGGAGGAGTCGAACGGAGAGAGCAGCCGCGGGCACCTCCCATCGCGCTCCCCGCCAGCTCACCCTCACCCCCGGCGCGGTTAAGCCGCGCGGCCGCGGCCGCCAGCTGCATGCGCCCCGGCACGTAGGAGCCTGCACGCCCGCACGCGGGCGGGGGAAGGGCGCGGCAGAGCGCGCAGCCCCGGCCTGGGCGCCTGGGCCGAGCCTCTCCCCGGCCTAAGCTCCCGCTGCGCCTCGTCCCCGGCCCTCGCGCACGCAGCCCCTTACCCGTGTTGGCCTTGATGTTCTCCCGCAAGAAGTGGCCGCTGGAGAGGTGCTGCAGGCCAAAGTTCTGGGCGATCATCTGGCACACGGTGCCTTTGCCCGAGCCGGGCGGCCCGAGGATGACTGCTCGCAGGAGTTTAGAAGCCATTGCCTCGATGGGAAGGAGACCCTGACAGGAGATGCGCGAACTTTGTTGCTCGACCCTGTCTGCTCGAGAGGGAACTCTCTGGCCGCCCCTACAGAGGGGGAAGGAGAGACTTTTAAGCCAGCCCCTCCCCTCCGCCCCACGCCTGGAGCGACTCGAAGGCGGAGACGCCTTAGCTACACCTCCCCGCCCTCGCACCCTCCCGCAGCCTGTCCGGAGGGCTCGGGCCCCCGCCCCTAGGGGTCAGCCTTTAGAGGTCTGACGCGACGGTCCGACTGGTCCCATCATGGTCCTGGAAGGCTCTGGCGAACGAGCATCCCCTAGCCGGTCTCAGTCGGGCCAGGGGAACCGGCGTCGGGGTGACCCCGAAGCGCGCCCCCGCCTTGCCACGCACCGAGTGACCTGCTGGCTGAGTCTCTGAGCAGTCCCCGCACGTGGGCAGCCTGTAGCTCGCGTCTCGGCCCCTTCCCGGCCGCTGTCACAGACCCCGTTGCCGTAGTGGCCCCTGCTGCCCGCTGCCCGCGCGCGCTCCGAGGGGCCACCTCCGCCCAGCGCTGGCAGATGCGCGCCCGAGCCGCGGGGCGTGCGCGGAGCCTGGGTCGGGCCTGTCCAGCAGAAGCAATCAGACTCGCACCTCAGCTGCAAGCTGCACCCCCACACACAAGCCTTCCAGCACGGGGCCGCTGGGCGGCGCCGCCTCCGCCCGCCCAGCCTCGGAGTCCCGCTGGCCGCGGGGGACCCGTGCCTTACGTAAGCCCTGAGACCTGCTCCCACGCCACCCGCCGGCCGGGACCCACGTGCTCCCCGCGCCCCAGTGCTGGCTGATGAGGCGAGGGGACGCGAGGCGGAGAATCTTGTTTTTTGTGACCCCCCCAGGGCCGAGGTCTACAAGGGCAAGGGAAGGAAAAATACCACTTGTTGTGCACCTACTAAGCTTCAAGTTCTGGGCTGCGTGATTTCATTTATGCAACCACCTTTCCAGGTACAAGAAAGAGGCCAGGAGTGTGACTATCGCTTCGCCGATCGGTGCAGGCAGCGCTGTCCCGTCGGCAGCTATCTCTTGCGACCCAGAGCTGGAAACCTTCCCTCCAGGAGCTTTCTTCTGTAGGGAGTTTTGAATCCCCTAACCGGGGAAGGGGAGAGGCGCGCTCACCCGTGTACAGGACCCTACAGCCCAATAATACCAGCAGGACTTCCGGCTGCAAGGTGGTGTTGTTGATGCTACACACCCGTCAAGTCTCAAGGGAGGCCCTCTCCTGCCGAACCACCTGCTGCACATCCCAATCTGTCACCTATTAAATGTGTTCCCATCTCACTTACAGCCCTGAATTTTCCACCCCAGTGGTGCTAATACGGCCCCTAACTCACTGAATTCCCCGCCATTCCATCTTCTAGAGAGATGTCAGAAATACTGATGAAGCAAAAGAAAAAAAGTTTATTATTTCAGAATAAAGTGAAAGACAAAAATCCTATAGGGGCTCTTGCAGGTGCCTCCATATGTTCCCCTCCCCCTTCCTGAGTGAGCTCCCTTGGCCACAACTCCCAAGTAGAAGTGGGTGAGCAGCCCTGCATGCAGGTACCCCTTGGAGAAGAGGCCTCACTACATTCCAGGTCGATCCCTTTGCACTGGGGGGAGGCCGGGGGCAGAGCTGACAGCCTCTGGCCACTTAGCAGCACTTCTCAGTCAAGCACAGAGTTGGTCGAGCAGCCCAGGTGGAGCACCAGCGCCACACCAGCATTTGTTGTCCAGATCTTTTGCCTGTGAAAGAGTGTGTTGTGGACCTTCCACTTCACCATTTCAGCTGCCTGGAACCAAGAGGTAGAAGAGCTGTTGGGGATGGAGCAACTTCTGGCCCCTGGTCTCTGATGTGCAACAGGTAGTGGCGGTGCGTCTCAGCTGTGAGCACGCATCCAAAACCCAGGAGTTCGGTGGAAACTGAACCCAGTGAAGCTGGAGTGAGCAATTCCTGTCTCTAGTGGAACTGATTGTGTGCCTTACCACAGAGATATCTCAAATATCTCACACAAACCGGAAGAACTATCATCCCTATCCTGCCCCTGACTAGGTGCTTTGGTGTAGTTTTTAAATATCTTTACTAATATCATCTTAGTAGTGTCACTGACCAGTGTAAGTCACCCACACCATCCTAGGACTTCAAACGTCAGGAGCTTGAATTTTGAAACAGGGCTGACAACCCATAAAGGTGCTTGTTCGAGTCCCAGCCGAGTAAGCCCATAACCCTTGGGCACAACACAATGGGATGGAACAGGAAACCAGAGGCGTCTCTTCTTGTGACACCTACAATCAGACTCCACACTCTTCCCCTTTTCGGATGTGGCCAAGAGAGCTCCACTTCCTATCCAGCTCCCTGTTTACGGCCTGGGAAAGCACTAGAGGATTGCTCAAGTCCTGACCCCCTCCAGAAGCTCCTGGCTCCCAGGCTTCAGATCAGTTTAACTCCAGGTGTTACAGCCATTTGGGGAAGGAAAGAACAGATGGAAGATCTCTGTCTTTCCCTCTCACTTGGTAACATTGCATTTCAAATAAAAAATAATTTTTAAATTATGAAAGAAAAGAATTGTACCACAGGTTAAAATCAAATAAAAAAATACATTTTAAGTATTTTTTTTTAATTATGAAAGAAAAGAATTGTATCACAGGTTAGAAACAACAGAGAAACCCAGCAGATTAGAATCAGCATTTGAGCCTGGTGTGATGGCTCAATCAGCTGGTTCTCCCCTTGCAAGCACCAGGATACCATGGGGGCACCAGGTCATATCCCGGCTGCTCTACTTCCCATTCAGCTCCTTGCTTGAGACCTGGAAAAGTACAGAAAAAGGATAACTCAAGTCCTTCAGACCCTGCTCCTGACTTCAGATCGTCATGGCCATTTGGGAAGTAAGCCAACAGGCAAGAGATCTTTCTGTTTCTCCTTCTCTCTGTAAATCTGCCTTTCCAAGGAAAATAACTGAATCTTAAGAAAAAGAAATATGGCCCCGGCGCGGTGGCGCAAGTGGTTAAGTCCTCGCCTTGCACGCCCGGGATCCCATATGGGCGCCGGTTCTAATCCCGGCAGCCCCGCTTCCCTTCCAGCTCCCTGCCTGTGGCCTGGGAAAGCAGTCGAGGACGGCCCAAAGCTTTGGGAACCTGCACCCGCGTGGGAGACCCGGAAGAGGCTCCTGGCTTCGGATCGGCATAGTATCGGCCCGTTGCGCTCACTTGGGGAGTGAATCATCGGACGGAAGATCTTCCTCTCTGTCTCTCCTCTCTGTATATCCGCCTTTCCAATGAAAAAATAATAAAAATAAATCTTAAAAAAAAAAAAAAAAAAAAGAAAGAAATATGTACACTTGGCCCTGGCACAGTGGCCTAGTACTAGTATCTCAACTTGTATGCACCAGGATCCCATATGGGCGCTGATTCAATTCCTGGCTGCTCCACTTCCCATCCAGCTTCCTGCTTATGGGCTGCAAAAGCGGTAGAGGATGGCCCAAAGCCTTGGGACCCTGCCCCTGCATGGAAAACCCAAAAGAAGCTCCTGGCTCCCGGCTTCAGATCAGCTCAGCTCTGGCAGTTGTAGTTACTTGGTGAGTGAACCAACAGATGAAGATCTTTCTCTGTCTGTCCTTCTCTCTTTTAAATCTAACTTTCCAGTGAATCTTTAAAAAAACAACAACAAAAAAACTTGTCAACTTAAGAGAGTACTTGCAATTTTGCAAGCAAAAGGTCATATATTTATGGGTACGACAATATTCAAAAAGTTCATGGAAAACAAATGTTATAAAAAAGCTACAAATGGAGTTTGAGGAACCTGAGTATCAAAATCCCAACCATTTGTTCATGGCTCTGTGTCTGTGCTTGCAGGCCAAGGACCCATGTGACCTTTGACACTGATGGGCTCCAATTCTCAATCAAGTCCTAAGTCTGGTTATCTCACAGGTGGCTCCAAGTAAGTAAAAGGGTGGTTACCTTAATTGTTGGAGAGACTTGGCTATCCAGCAAAGATAGGTGGGGAATGTGTGGTATTTCCTTCTCACCTTGAAGACTATTCTGAATTGCCCCTTTTCAAGTTATTGTGGACTACCATATTAAAACACTGAATGTGCTATTCCCCGCAGCACCCCAGTAAGGGGTGCTGGTCCTGGCAGGCCAGTAGGCCAGTCATTCCACCGCCTGCTCTGAACCAAGAACCCAAGCTCAGTAATCCTGAGCTTGAATAAACCATCCTTGTGCACTTGCATCGATTTCAGACTCCTGGTGACTTCTGGGGTTCTCAGCATCTGGGCACAACAGAATTCATAATTTTTTGTACCAAATAAACCTTTTTGAAATTACTTTTCGATACTACACTTTTGTAGGTACAGGAATTCCCACTTCCCTCTCCATTCTTCCTACCTACTTTGCCCTCTCACCATTTTACTCCATATCATTATAGTAGTACAATCCTTTAGTAACAGTTACAAATTTAACATTGTGATATTTAAGTACATCATGGAATTATATCATAGATAGAAAATTTAATATCAGGCCCGGCACAACCGCGTAGTGGTTAGAGTCGTCTCCTTGAACAAGCCGAGATCCCATATGGTCGCAAGTTCTAATCCTGGTGGCCCTGCTTCCCATCCAGCTCCCTGCTTGTGGCCTGGGAAAGCAGTTGAGGATGGCCCAAAACCTTGGGGACCCTGCACCCATGTGGGAGACCCGGAAGAAGCTCCTGGCTCCTGGCTTCGGATCAGATCAGATTGGTTGCAGTCATTGCGGCCACTTGGGGGAGTGAACCATCAGACAAAAGATCTTCTACTCTGTGTTTTCTCCTCTCTGAATAATAAACAAATCTTTAAAAAAAGAGATTAAAGAAAAAAGAGGCAAATCTAATATCATATTGCCACAGTATATTTAACTGTTTCAATTGAGTCTTCCTTTTATTTGGGAGTAGAAATACCTACTGTTACATATTTGCACTTCCAGCATGTTAGTCTCCATTATACAGTGTATCTATGAGAATATATGTATATATTTGTTTGCCTATATATCTATTTGTCTTGTATTTTTCATGAATATTTTCTTATGCTATGGGGTGCAGC